ATTCTCGTAAGCAATCCAATCGTCGGCGGTAGGTTGCCGGAAATACCAGTCTCGGCGAGGCCAATCATCACTAGATTGCTACAATTTCCAATCTCCGGCGGCAATGGGCCTCTGAGATTCTCGTTCCCCCCGGCACGGAAAACTTCAAGTTTTGTCAATTTCCCTATGCAGCTTGGAATCTCGCCGCTGAGATAATTGTCGAACAGAGTGAGATAAGTGAGCATGGAGAGATTGCCGAGATCGAGAGGGATAACTCCGACGAGAGAATTGGAATTTAGAGCTAAAGATTCAAGCTTTGCGAGCCTGCAGAGCTCGGCCGGAATTTCGCCGGATATTTGGTTCCTGCTAAGATCGAGCAAGCTTAGTTGTTGGAAATCACCGAAAGATTTTGGGATTTGGCCGGTGATATTTGTGCCTGAGATGACCAGAGTCTTGAGAGAATTAAGTGATTGGAAACTGGAAGGCAATTCGCCTTGGAGATTCAACGAATTGAGTTTGAGGCTTATGACTTGGGAGTTTGAGTTGCAGAGGACTCCATACCATTTGCAGGGATTGGAATCTGTTGACTTCCATGACCTGAGTTCTTCTGAGGAGAAGGTGAGGGTATTCCTCCATTGAAGCAGAGCAAGGCCTTGGTCGTCAATGGAGAGGCAGGAGAGGAAGAGAAGAGGGAGTGTGGTTACTGATAGAAGAGTAGTGTATATGGAAAAAGGCATCGGTGGATGTGAGATGGGGAAGATGAAGGAGGAGGAGGTGGAAATTTGTGTTGGGATTGTGGAGGGGGAAACCCCATGTTTTGTTTATAGAAGAGAAGAGAGATCTGGATCTGTGATGTTAATAATTGAGTTTTTGTTTTGTTTTATTTTGTTAATCATTGGCTGTGTTCTGTTTGATGTTTTGATTATGAAAGGATGCTGTCTTTTGCTGAATTTGTGGTTCTCTGTGCTCTGAAATTTAATATATATAATGGCCGCTTAAAAAGAAAAAAAAAAAACTCTTTTTTAATATGAACATCAGAAATTTTTCCATAATTAGTTGTTGATAGCATGCATTATTATCACAATGGATCTCTAGTGGAAACTTTTGGTTTAAATTTAGCTCATTAGGAAGGTCGAAAGAGCTGGAGCCACTTGATACTAGCATTTAAATAGTTATAAATAAATAGAAATGAAAAAAATGGATAGCCACTGCCATAAATTTGGCTTGGAGTTGCTAATCTGTCTTCAATTTCTCTTTAATTAAAAATAGATTCTTAACGTTTAGTGGGAAGTAGAGCTCTCAAAAAAGCACGTGGTTCGCGAACAATTCGTGTTCGGTTCATCAATTAGTTCGTATTCGATTCGTTTGATAAGTAAACGAGACGAACGTGAACAAATTTTTTTCGTTCGGTTAGTTAAACGAACCAAACACAAACACGAATAGTGATGCGTTCGTTCGTGTTCGAATCGTTATTGTTCGAAATATAAAATAATTTAAAATAATTATATATAAAAATTTTATGATATTTTAAAAAATTAAATTTTATAAATTATAATACATAATAAATTAATAATAATAATATATTAATATACTATATATTAATATAAGATATTATTTATATATATTAATATTAGGGATGTCAAACTTGCACATCGTTCGCAAACAGCTCGTGTTCGGCTTGTTCGTTCAGAAACGAACACGAATAGTGACTTCATGAACAATTTCGAACACGAACTTATTTCAGACAAACTAAATTTCAAACGAACTGAACACGAACACAAACTCTGTTCATTCGTGTTCAATTCGTTTACACCACTAGTGGGAAGATGTACTTCTTTTTTTATAAAAATTGGAAGAGATTTGAAAAATATATTTTTTTCTTCTGAAATTACTAAATTTTTTTTCTATTCAGCATATTAAAGTAACTAATTTTGACAGAACTCACAAAATTTACTTTAATCTGATGTTAATCATTTTTTACTCTGCCAATCATTAGTATTATTTGGCAGAATTGTATGGTCAAAGAATATTGCTGAGAGTGATACTGTGATTATCAGAAATGACGCACAAGCTGAACCAGTCCATAGACAGCAATGGGTTTCGTGTTCTTAAAATACTAACATTTTCTCTGTTAAAAATAGGGGTGTAAGCTCGCTCGTGTTCGGCTCGTTTATATTTCAAGCTCAAAAAGTGTGTTCGTGTTCGGCTCGTACGAGCTGTTCACGAACAAAGAGTCATTTGAACAACCCTAATCATGTAGTCATAAGACAATAAGGGTTTGAGCAAGATTTAAAAATTATTATTTATATTAAAACATCATTTGAATTTAATTTAATAATTTTTATTCTATTTTCTTAATCAATATTTTAATTGATTATAAATTTTTGTAGCCTTGTAGTCAATTAAATTTTTTTTAAAATACTACTTTATATATATATATAT